GGAACCACTAGTAAACCTGCAGATTGAGAGCGAAGTGCTCTGTTAGGAACATAAGGAACAATCAGTTCTCTGATATAAGATGGAGCTTGGCCATTTAAGGCTTTATATGTGAGAAGGAGGATTTTGTTATGATACATATTCTGCTGTAGCAGGATGGGTGGGTAGAAATCTGCAGCCTGTAATAATCTGCAGTCCCTCTTCTTCCCTTTCAGTTATTTTTACGGCGTAATAAATCACTGCATGGATTTAGCTGTGACTTTGCCAAAGGCAGCTGTGCTCTGTGCATGCGGCAGGAGGTTGCAGCTGAAGAGGCACCTTCCATCCAAGCTGACCGCTGCATGTCGTCTGAAGGGGAGATAGTTTTATGAAGCATCATATTCAGCAGACTAGAAAACAGACGCAGGTCTGGTGCAGCGCTTTGCTCAGAGGCAAAAAAAGAGAAATGATTTGAAGCATTATGAACAAAAAGATAAAAACAGATTAATGTTAGGCTGGAAAGCCTTTCTCACCTCTTCCCCTCTCATCATTTACTGCAGAACCAGACCCAGCAGCACCAGCAGACGACGGGCCAGAACCAGACCCAGCAGCAGGCGGCGGCCCAGCAGGCCCCCTCCCAGCAGAGCTCGGCTCAAACCAACGGAGCCACGGGGGCCAACACAGGAGGAGGAATGCAGCACGGTCAGGATCAGGGCCCGCCCAACAAGAAACCTCGGATCGGGCCCTCTGGAGCCTCCTCAGGAACCGGAGTGTTACAGTCAGAGTATCAGGTGTGTTTTAGCCCAGGTGCAACAAAAAAAGAGAGACTCACTGATCCTACCTATTCTCTGCTGAGTGAACGCACCGTTTGACATTTTTTTAAATCATTGAGGCGTTTAAACATGAAGTTCAGCGACACTTTTAGGGAAAACCGTCATCTGTCCCTTCAGGCTGAACATCAGCAGAGGTTCTGGTTAGTCTCTGCTTCATGAGCCGATCATGAAGGCCAGGAGCAGAACCAGCAGCCTCCAGAGAGGCAGGCACTGACGCAGCAGACGGCGGCGGCTGATAAGATCCGTCCTGCTGACGGAGCCACTGTTTTCAGGTTGTTGTATCGCTGGCCTCACCCTCCTCTCTGTCAGTGAGAAGATGATAAGAGCGGCAGCTCCTGTCATAAACAGCCGCTGATGAGGGCAAAGTGTTGGAGTTTCATCAGTCCTCCTGGGTCAAACAGAAGGGAAATAAAAGTCTTTAGCTTCTCTGGAATTCATTTAATCAAACTCACCATAAGGATGAGCAGATGTTAACATGGCAGCCTTTACCAAGCTGTCCCCGTTTGCAGAGACAGCAGCAGAGCAGCGTCTCTGTTTTTAGCATCTGGTTCTCATTGCACCTCTTTTCTCTAATTCCGCACAAATACCTTCTGCCTCCTTTCCTTGACCTCAGGAGGGTTCCTACTAACAGAATAAAAAAAAAAAACAGACATGTTAGAAGGTCTGGAGGAGCTGCAGAGTTCCACCTCCCAGCCGATAGGACCATATGGGGCTATACTTCTTGATTAGTATAATCCCAATGATGACGTCCTGTTTGGCATCGACCATGACGAGAAACAGCAAACCAGTCAGATCAGACCAGAAGTTTTTTGGACTTCAAGCATTTAAAAAATACTGCACAGAACATCCCCAGCAAGCAAGTAGGTGGTGGCAGCATCATGATGTGGAGATGCTTCTCTTCAGCAATTATAAGGCCCCTGTCCCACCTTGCCGATTTAGCCAGCGTCCCAGAATCTCCTAAAACTCTGACATACGCTTTTTTCCATTTTGGGCATATAAGTAGAGCATTTATATGAGCCCAGAGCGTCATGCCAATGACATGATGCACAAGCATCAGTTAAAGCTGTTCCCCTCAGGAGCAGCAATGCGCCTGGAGGCGCCCAGTCTGCATAATATCAGGTCTTTGATCGCAGTATTAACCCAGCTGCTGTTTACCACCCGCTCACAAAAGAAAGAATAAAAAACAAAAATAAATAAAAAGAAAAAGAAAGGCTTGCAGTCACAGCAGATTGAGCGTCATGTCTGCTAGGAAGTTTGTTGGTGGTCGTCGTGAACGCAGGAAGGATCCATCACCCTCACCTTCTCCCTCACCCTATGATGGCGATGAAGGAGAAGTGACGGTTTCCTCCTGTGAACCTCCTTTATACCAAAATGCTGCCAAAACGCCATTATACAGTAGCTGGAAGTTAGAAACACTGAAGTTCTTAATGAGTTACGCAGAAGTTACGCATAGGTTTTGGATAAGCTAGACGCCACGACTTATGACCAACTTATACTTAACGTATGTCAACCCTCAGATAACTGTCCTGGAACTTATGGCCCCATGTATGGCATACGCTGGCATATGGCAGGAAATTCTGAGCACGCTCAAAATTTCTCCATGTACTCGCTGTATTTCGATGTGTGCTGGCGTGTTTTAGTGTACTCATAACTTATACAAAACGTACCGATAACGTATCTAACGTATGCCTGCATTTTTGCCAGATTTTTCGTACGTCAGCCATACGCTGGTCTAAATAGTCAAGCTGTGACAGGAGCTTAAGCGACTGGTTAGAGTTTACAGAAGGGTTGATGGGGGTAAAGGGTGATATAACAAGGAATCTGACCTTGTTTTCCATTGGCTGACATCTAAATCAACAGTCCAGACAGTAGCCACAGCATGTGGAAACACTTTGTAGGGATAAGATAAGGACAAACATACGAGTGTTTAAGTCCAGCCCATCTTCTCTATTTAGTTGTTAGAATAGTGAAGGAAGGTTGTGACTTTGCAAAGCACATATTAGTTTCCAGCAGTGTGTGGCTACCCTGGCTGCGAGGAGGCTTTGTGCTCAGTCTCCACATCTGCATATAGATCCACGTTTTTGGCTGTGATTTATAAGAATTGCAAATTAAGTAAATTAGCAGGTAGCTACATGGCAGAGGGAGTGGAACATGATCAATTCAGGGTGGAATATATTTATGGATTATTATGAGGAACAATTTCCATTAAAGAGAAGCAATCTATTTAAGAACAAGCCCCTAGGAAGGCTGGCAGCTTTTTTTTTTTAAACTATTTTCAGGCTAAGATCATAGAAGAGGTTGATAAAGCAAAATATATGAGAGATAAGAAGAATTTAAACCAGGCTTTTAGCCCGTTGATTGCAGGGATAGGCTTCCGCAAATGGAGATTTAATTCGACAGCATTAAACCAGAGAAATATCCTATAACTATCTTTCAACCTGTAATACTATCCCCCATGATCAACACAGCAGGGCCCAGCAAGCTTTAAACTAGAAGGCATCTCACCTGAACTGGGCCTTAGAAACAGGTTGAGCACCTCGGTCCTATTTCCCTTTATAGGGCAACTGAGCCGGTTCAGGTATATGATATTAATACGTTTCTATTGGAAAGTTTAGAAGTGACTGGGGAAAAAAAATGACAGGAATGCTGATCTCAGACAAGCAGAAAAGGAAAGTCAGTCTGTCCTTTGACTTCACCATTAAAAATAGGACTTTTTATTTACCTTATAATCCATCCATACATTTTCCGTCACGCTTATCCCAAGTGGGGTAGCGAGGGGTGTGGTGCCTACCTCCAGCTGTCTGTGTGCGCGAGGTGGTGGCCACCCTGGACAGGTCGCCAGTCCATCGCAGGGCAACACAGAGACAAACTGTCACAGCTGGGTTGAAGTTTTCAGAACCCAAATGCAGAGGCGAGGAGGCAGAGGTGAGTTTTGTAGATTTAATGAAGTACTCACAGGCAACTGAGGCAGGAATCCAAAACTCCAACATAACAAATACAGAAAAAAACAGAACCTTGGAGACATCAGGGAAAACAAACATGAGGAGCCAGGAAAAGGTGAGGAACCAGCACTGAGGAACTGCACAGGGAGAGTTTATCTGGGAGACTGAACAAAGACAGGACTAATGAGCTGATTGGGAGCAGGTGTGAACAGAGGATTCTAGAAGGAGCTAGGGAAAAGGAGACCAACACAAGAGGGCAACAGAAAAACCTAAGAACTCAACTATATCCAGAAAGCACCACGAAATAGGAATTAAACCAATAAAACTAGAAAGCAAAGAAAAACATGGATCAAAGTGAAACTGAAAACTCCAAGACCCTGACACAATTAGGACAAACAACCATTCACACAAACACTCACACCTAAGGAGAATTTAGAGAAGCCGTTTAACGGTCATATTTTTGGACTGTAGGAGGAAGCTGGAGTACCTGGAGAGAACCCACACATGCTCAGGGAGAACATGCAAACTCCATGCAGAAAGACCCCGGGCCGGGAATCAAAACCCAGAAAATTCTATCTGCAAGGCAGCAGTTCTACTGCCCGACTGTTCAGCCCTTTTTGCCTTATAATCTGAGGTTAAATTTAAAAGAATATGTGTCCGAACAGACATCCCTGCAGAACATCATTGCTTAGGAATTGAGAAAGCTTCCTGGAGAGGTGGCGAAACGTCTTCAAAACTTTGAAAACCAAGTCCAGTGGATATTTTTTGAATTTTTACAGGAAGACTAATCTCACTTACAAAAACTGCACCTCCTTTTGTTTTTTTTCAAATAAAATATCAAACGGACCAAAAGCTTTAAACTCAGAGTTTAACGTTTCTGTAGACAGGAGGGGATTTAAAGAAGTTAACTCTGTTTTTATTCTTCTGTTTGTCTCCAGCACTCCAGCTCCAGGCTCGGTTACCAAAGCAACGCCCAAGGCTCCACTCAGTCTCAGAGTACCATGGGATACTCCTCATCATCCCAGCAGAGCTCCCAGTACTCCCACCAGACGCACCGCTACTAAGAGTCCAACGAGCCGCCCGCCCCTCTCCCCTTCCCCCGCCGCCTCTCCAACCAGCAGAGGACACACGTCCTCGTCTTTAACCGACACCCAGCAGCCTTCCTCGTACAGGTCGGGCATCATTCCAACTTGGCCTTCCTCCATCAGAAGCTGCTCCCACCTTTCTGAAGGCAAACCGGAACCAAAAGAAACAGAGGTTCTGCCTTGCGGGGCTGGTGATCACGGCGAAGCGCAGACTGACCGTCAAGGCACTTAATAATGCAGCTGTGTTCACATGTGTACATTACGGAGCACCTTTTGCTATTTCAGTTTTTCGCTCGTTTGCTAGAGGTTTAAAGTTTACCTTGATAGTTGATGTCATTCTAAACATTGTTACATATAAGAGGAGCGAAACAGAGGAGGAAAAGCCCTTCACCCTTATCTGTGTCGTTTAATCAGAAGGAAAGGAGCAAAGGTTGGAGTTAACCCGTTTACCCTGCCCTTTTAAAGGCCACAATGACCCAGAGAGAGGGGGGGGGCAGCTTTTCAGCTGATGTCAGTGCAGGGAAATGCAGTTTATTGGAAGCCTTGTAATATAGACTTTGTATATGTAGATCTATTCATCTCAGTCTGGAAACAAGTAGAGCAGTCGCCTTTATATGGAGCTACCCTCTGGATACTCTGATGGCTTTATGGCGAGGAGCAGCTTGTTCTCCTGATGATGACGGCGGTTTCAGGAGGCCCGATGGTCTCCGTGGAAACATCTGGTCACAGACCATCAGAACTTTGAAGGCCTTCTCTTTTTTTTTATTTGTATTTAAACACAGATGTAACGTGCGCATTGCATACAGGGCAGCTAAACTCCCCTGCCTCCCCCCACCTCCCTTCCTCCCCCCCTCCAGCATATGCTTCTTGAACCTGTTACTGCCGGATGTCAGATTTAGTGGTTTTATTGCTGTTTGGCTGAGTGCGTGTGAGTATGAGTGCATGTATGAAGTTTTTATGTTTTCAAACCAACCAGAGTTGCACTGAGCGTTGAACCCGTCTACAAAGAGCTGGAACAAACTTTGGGTGAGTGTTTGTCACCTGGACTTTTGCCTTCTTCTCCTCGGGCCTCATTTGCCAAAATATGACAGATGATTGTTCTCATTTGGCCACTTTTATAGATAAGAATAACAAAATCCTCTTAAATAAGATACTTTACCCACAGAATAAGTGCTTTCACCATTAAAATAGGATGATTAGCTATTATGCACTTAAAATGAGCTAATGAAGTTGTTTTCACTTATTTAAAAGATAAATCTTATTTAATTAGAAAATTGCCTCACTTACCTGCTCAAATCAAGGAAAGATACAACTGTTTAAACACAAAATGACACACTAAAATTTCAGTGTTTCCACTGCATTATTATGTTTTATCTTATAAACCCTGAAGTGTACACACACTCATTATTATTATACCATAGTATTTTTAGAGCCATTATTTTTGATACATTCAGTGAATTTACAAAACCAGAAAAATAATAAGTTATAGAAGGATTTAGAGACAAAATCCCACATATATCCCCAGTAGCATTTGGTTTGTTAGCAAGTGGTGGAGAAGCTACCTGCTTTATTTATTGTATTTTATAAATCTGATGAGTTTGTTTTCTTCCAGGATTGGTAGAGCTTATATAAGGGTTGTATTTCCATGCACAGAAGTTGTCTAAGGTCGTTACCTTTACATTTTCAACAGGTCAGAGGTCGAGGCATTTCCAGACTGATGTTAGCCTTCTTTTTTAGTTCAAACACCAGCTTTGATGTGTGAGACAGAATGTAGTTCTTATGTGTATGTGTGAGACAGAATGTAGTCCATTTACCCATGTGTGTGAATTCATTTTGTTTCATTGATGTGAGCAAACAAATGAAAAAAAAAATGCAATCCAGAATGAAACTTAACTTTGCCAGTATCATTTTTTTTTTAATTTTTTAACAAACAAGGTTTATTTTATTTTCAGTATCCGAATGTGCCAAACAAATTCTAGAATAATTACTGTAATTATCATCACCCACCCATTGTAGACCCGCCCCGCCCGGCGTCATTCAGGAGATGGGTATAACCCAAAGTAAAAATAGAGTAAAATAAAAAGAAATAATAGAAGAATAATAAATAAAGAAGATAGATAAATAAAGAATAAAGAAAAAAAAGGGGGAGGTTAAGGTTAAAGTTTATTTTTAACGAGTAATTCATCAAGCATTTAATTTCTCTACAAAGTTTAGAAATGGTTGCAAAGTTAAATAAAATTTAGATATACACTGGAAAAAATCGTAATCTGGATAAGTTTTTTTTTTTTTTTTTGCGGCACTAGTGCCTCACTTTTTCGACAGCTAACCGCTGCGCCACCAAAAAAAAGTTATTATTTTTCTTCAAATAAGTGTATTTGTTCTTGGATTGAGGAGGTAAAAGACACATTTTGCCAATAGAACAAGACAATTTACATTTAAAATAAGAAAAAAACAATTGCATTGTCTTATTTCAACTGCATTCTATCTAATTATCCTTTTTTAAGAGTAAAAATCCTCATTCCATTGGCTAACTATCTCATGACCTTCTCAAATTAAGGATAAATACACTTAATTTAAGACATTTCTACTTATTTTTAGATCGTTTTTCCAGTGTAGATCCTCTCACAGTGCTCTTTTCTAGTTTTAATGACTGCATAACCTCTTTAATCCAATGAGCATGAGTAGGAGGGGACGCCTCCTTCCATTTGAACAGTAATAGCCTCCTTGCTAGTAAGGAAGCCACATAGTGGCATGTAGATGTGCTCCAGCTGGAACGATACCAAATATTGCAGTCAGGGGAGAAGGTTCTAGTGGGTATTGGAGGATAGTGGCTAGAGCATCAAATATAGATTTCCAGAAATGGGTGAGTTTCAGGGAGGCCCAGAACATATGATTAGAGGCTGGCAGCTTCCTGTTTACATCTATCACAGGCTGAGTCTAGTTCTGGATAGATCTTAGCCTATTTTTCTTTTTCTGATTGAGTTTTTTTTATAAATTGCATCAGAAAATCACTGATTGGTATTTAAAGATTCTTATTAGTTCTGGGGGCGGGCTTTCCTCTGGCGGAGCGGTGAAGGCCCATTTCTACTGGTCTGCATGGACATTAGTATATGCGTTTTTACTGGTCAGAGGATGTGATCTGTAAAACTCAATTTGAGTATTAAAAAATAAAAAGTTTGAAAAAATAAAATCTCTAAAAGAAAAACATAAAATAAAAAAAAATGTTTAATAAAATTGTATTTAATTTTTATTTCTGGATTGCTTTTTTGTTCATATTTACATTTCCTAAAAGTGCTCTAGCAACAGTGGAACAGAAATGACTCCAAAGGTCCACAATGACCTTTTAATTCGATCAGTTACCATCAATTCTATTAGATCTTCTAATTGTTTCTCTCCCACTTTCTGAGAAACATTTAATCGAATGTTCTATGGGATGTTTGTGTATGTACATATTTGACTCAGCCTATATAAGTCGCACTGCGTAGAAAATAGATTATAAATTCATTTATTTTCTGCATTAAATTCTTATTTCTGCACAGGTCAAACAAACGAGTTAAAAAAATACATCATAATGACATCATTGGAGATTATGAGTATGAGTAAACCTCTGAGTATCAACATCATTGTTTTGTATGAATGAATTACTTTCAGTCCATCTTCAACAAAAACAACTTTTATCTAAGAACAAGAAGGAGTGGACTCTAGTGTGTAGACTTACTTCCTTGGCGTTACATAGAAACTGGCTAAGCTGCCATGTGGAAGAACCACATTTATCCCATGGCGGTTTTTCTTTTTCCTAAAGGGTAGATGTAGATAAACCGCCAGACTAACACTAAATTATTTGAGCCGTGGTAAAGAAAGAGAGTTCTGAAGTTTGATACATCAGGAACTAACCTGGTCTGTACAGCTCTTTTAACGAGGAACATGCAACCTAAGAGGAACGAGCATAAAAAACGGCTTTCTGCTATTCTTTATTAAACACTAATTCCACACGCAGTTTGTGAAGAATAGCTATTACTAAGCAGCTCACCTAAGGTCACACTTCTAGTTTTCAATCTGACTGAGGTCTGGATCATTCCCCTCTGACATTTGACCTTAGAGTCATTTGGCATAGAGGGAAGCCCAGACCATCATACCTCCACCTTCGTGCTTGACCTTTAGTATGAGATGCTGTATATTATGACAAACCAGCTCAGTTTGCTCCTGATGATACGGACACTGCTGCAAAAAATCATCTGTTTTGTTTTAATGTCATTTAGCTATTGTTTTAGCTCCCTACCATATCGTCTTTAGCATAAAATATGTTATCAGAGGTCTTCAGAATCAAATGGGGAGCTGTTTAGCTGGTTTCTAAGCTTTGCATGGGCTCCCGAGAAGATTAAGGCTTTCCTGATGTCCTTATCCTGAGAATTTAACAAGGGTGTGTTTATATTTTACCTTGTTTCTACATAAATGATGGTAAAGCAGAAATTTGATGCATACATATATGCAGTTGGAGAATGTATTGCTAATTAGGAGGATTCAGTTTTCTGGAGTATCTTTGTGACTGGCTTCATTCGTCGTCTCTGCATTATAGAGGGTTTATAACGTCGTAGCCTTCGGCCGCAGTGAGAACCTCATCCTCCGTACAGGTTGAGCTGTAAACGCTTCATATTAGCTAACTACTTTAAACTAGGGGAACACATTGAGGTCTTGATTTAATCCAACATCACTGTCTATGTTTTTGCACTGCTGTAGTGTAATTCTCTTACTGACTGAAAATGAGAAATGATGAGGGACGAGTTCATTTCCTTTGTCTTTGTTGGTCCTCTCGGTTACATGATGAGCTGTAGTCCAGACTGCATCTGCAGGCGTGTTTGTCTGCCTGCAAATGAGCCTAACACCATGGAAAAAACTAAACATTTACTGCCAGGTAGGTAGCCTGCAACATAGAAAACACTGACACCTGGTGGCTGAAAGCAGAACTGAACCCCAGGATTTTCATTAAAGATGTTGCAGTGGAGCAGAATAATCTTTCCAGGCTGATTCGGTTGGTGGAGGTTTGAATTTCAGCAAACAGTTGACAGATTCTTGTGATTTTCTGGAATAGTTTTACTGAGGAATGAGCAGAAAACCAAACAAATCAATGTTATTATGAAATAAATAGAACTATTAGCCTCCACTTAGATCAGATCTGTGTTTTGCATTATAGGAAGCATAGACTGGTCGCAGTTTAGCATCCGACTGTCTTCCTCGGCTCTTTGAGCTGTTTTGGCTGAGATTTCTAAGCTTCTAAACAGAAACTGGAAGTTCTTTGGTTGTTCCTTATTCCTCCATAAAGAGTGTGTTGTTTTGTATGCTGTGTATGTTTTTTATATTGTGGGCAGTCGGGTCTCGGGGGGGCTAAGGGAGGCGGGGGGTGTGTTGAGGTAGGGTTGGGTCGTACATGACGCCGGGAATCCAAACCAGCAGCTACATTTGAAGGTTTTCCTCCTCCCTTCAGCACACACGTGTGTAGGGAGCTTCAGCAAAGACACCTGAAGACGCTTTGCTGTACATTTCTCTCTCTGCAACAAACGAGGTGTCACAAGTATTATGGCAGCGCCAGGCACGAGTGAGGGACAGGTTACCGTCAAACTACTCCTATGCAAAGAAACCCCAGACTAAAGCTTTCACCCGTGCTTAGGTTCTGCAGATCCTTCATTCCTGTTGTGACTCCTGCACGCAATCAGCGCTCCCCTTGTCACTTCCTTTTAATATGTACCATAAATGATCTATGTAAAGAAATGCACATATATGGATATTATAAAATCATATTTATTGTTTTTAATACATCTACATGTAATGTATTTTTTTTTATCTCTGCCTTAATTATGACAGCTGTAGAAATGGGTCTAACATCAGTGTTTGTTTTCCACTGCAAACATGTGGATATGGGCCTCATATGGCAGGAGACCATGAAGTACAGTCCTTGCAAAAGCTTTATACGCATTTAAAATATTAGCACTCACCCGAACCCCAATGTGTGTTACTATAAGGAAGAGAAGGAAACTGAGATATGATGAAGTTATTTGCTGCGTAACAATCGGCCGTAGCTCTGGCTCCATGTTTAGTGGTTCTCAGATGCACTGCAAAAAAAAAAATCCAGATTAAGTCAACATTTCTTAAATTAAGTGTATTTAGACTTAATTTGAGCAGGTAAATGAGATGATCTGCCAATGGAATTATTGTTTTTACGCTTAAAATAATATAATAATATACACTTGAAATAAAACAATGCAATTCTCTTTTTCTTATTTTAAATGTAAATTGTATTGTTCCATTGGTAAAGTGTCTCACTTACCTCCTAAATTCAAGAAAATGCACTTATTTTAGGTAAAAGTGACTTAAGATGAAATGTTTTGCAGTATGGAAGGGGAACCTTCACAGGCTCATCTCTCACTGCAAAAACCATCTACAAATAAGGAAAATTATCTTAAATTAAATGTATTTACCGTTACTTTGAGTAGGTAAATAAGATGACTGGCCAATGGAATGAGGTGTTTTAATTTTAGATAATATGCACTTGATGTAAATCTAAATGTAAATTGTCTTGTTCCATTGGCAAAGTCTCACTTACCTCAATCCGATAAAATTTACTTATTTTAAGAAAAAATGACTTATTTTTTGCAGTGCTCTCCAGAACCCTTTATTAAGGTCCCTCAGCTTCACCATAGAAGGAAAATATCCTCCCACCAACGCCTCCCCACACCATAACCACGTTTATTTCTAAAGCACTTACAATGACTGAAAAGG